ACTTTTTAAACTTGTCCATTACATTTGGCCCGGTCTTTGGTTTTAAATTGCGTCACGGTGTCATTGTTTTATTGTTTTATTGTTTTGCTTAATGTTTTATTATTTGCTTATGAGTTTATTGTGTATTGTATGTTGTTGTTGTCGGCGGCCTTGGCCTTTGTAAGCCGCATCGAGTCCTTTGGGAGATTTTGCGGGGTATAAATAAAGTTAAATAAATAAATAAATAAATATATATATATATATATATATATATATATATATACACACACACACACACACACACACACACACACACACACATACACACACACACACACACACACACACACACACACATATATATGAGAAGAATAGGCTCATATAAGGAGGGATGGTACTTCAAGTGTGAAGGTTCTAAGATGTTGAGTCTTTGGGTATCTCAAGATGCAGCACTGGAAAAGGATACTCAACTTGTAGATGGTATGCACAATAAAGCACAATATGCACAATTGCAGAATGCAATGCACTGCTCACAACAATCACAAGTAGTGTTCAAAACCTAATAATAATAATAAATAATAATAATAATCTTTATTTATATTATTATTATATATCTCTGCCCTATCTTTCCAGAGGGACACAGGGTAGATTCCAATGGCAAAAAAGCAAACATTCAATGCCAAATACAACAAAAAAAATCCAAATACAAAACCAACCAAGACCCAACATAGACCAACATATATCAAAATAAACCCACATATACCAAATTAAACCCACATATAAACCAGATTATAACATATAACATTAATTAAATTGTATCTAGCATAAAAAACATGAACCACAGTTTATTAAACCCCTCAAGGTTTGTTTACTGTTACCTTAAAATTAATTATGGGCAAAACACAAGGTCAGAGAAGCACGTCTGTTGTGCTTCCACTGCTATCAGCAGAATGTGTCCATTGTGCAATGGCGAAATGTGGACACTACATGCATTGTATGAGTCACACATGTGCATATCCCTAACTAGTTACCAGAATGTTTTCCTTGACTGGCTCTGATATAGGATCTCAGCCATAGTCACAGCCAGAATATCCAAAGCGCCAGGATTAAACAAGAGTGCCAATGGAACAACTACACGATGGGACTGGACAATGTTTTAATGAGAATTTATTGACTTATGCTTTTATTGCTGTTGTAATGATTTTATTGATGATAATGTTTTTATATTGCACTTGTGTTTCTGTGGTATTGAATTTTGCCTTGTAAACCGCCTTGAATCGCCGGAAGGCTGGGAAGGGCGGTATACAAATATAGTAAATAAATAAATAAATAAACTAATCGAGCATTTGACTCAACTGTTTTGTCATGCCAATTAGAATCATAGAATCATAAAATCAAAGAGTTGGAAGAGACCTCATGGGCCATCCAGTCCAACCCCCTGCCAAGAAGCAGGAATATTGCATTCAAATCACCCCTGACAGATGGCCATCCAGCCTCTGTTTAAAAGCTTCCAAAGAAGGAGCCTCCACCACACTCCGGGGCAGAGAGTTCCACTGCTGAACGGCTCTCACAGTCAGGAAGTTCTTCCTCATGTTCAGATGGAATCTCCTCTCTTGTAGTTTGAAGCCATTGTTCCACGTCCTAGTCTCCAGGGAAGCAGAAAACAAGCTTGCTCCCTCCTCCCTGTGGCTTCCTCTCACATATTTATACATGGCTATCATATCCCCTCTCAGCCTTCTCTTCTTCAGGCTAAACATGCCAAGCTCCTTAAGCCGCTCCTCATAGGGCTTGTTCTCCAGACCCTTGATCATTTTAGTCGCCCTCCTCTGGACACATTCCAGCTTGTCAATATCTCTCTTCAATTGTGGTGCCCAGAATTGGACACAATATTCCAGGTGTGGTCTAACCAATGCAGAATAGAGGGGTAGCATGACTTCCCTAGATCTAGACACTATGCTCCTATTGATGCAGGCCAAAATCCCATTGGCTTTTTTTGCCGCCACATCACATTGTTTAACATATTTCACTTGCTTTTTCACATATGTACTGCTCTCGAGCCAGGCATTGTCCCTCATTCTGTATCTTTGCATTTCGTTTTTCTGCCAAGTGGAGTATCTTGCATTTGTCCCTGTTGAACTTCATTTTGTTAGTTTTGGCCCATCTCTCTAATCTGTCAAGATAGTTTTGAATCCTGCTCCTGTCCTCTGGAGTATTGGCTATTCCTCCCAATTTGGTGCGATGCTGGAAAAGGTTGCCCTCAGAATATAGGTGAAGAGCACTTTGTGAATTCTCTATCAATATTGCATTTGTATTTGGTGAGAACAACTACCTACACAAGCACTGAAACTACCTGGAAGAGACTATATAATAACTAAGAGTTGCTTCTCCTTCCCTGTGGGAAAAGCAGGGAAAAAATGAACAAAGAAGTGGAGCTACCAAAATAGTACATTCTGGGGGGAAATCAGGCAATGGTCCCAATAAATTAGAGGTGGATCAATGATCTCTCTCTCTCTCAATCTCTCTCTCTCTTGCAATTCATCATAGTGCTTAGCAAAGGGACTATCCTATGTACAACATAAAGGGCCTTTATAAATATCAAGTGAAACAGGTATATCACAAATGGTTGTCTTCCTCTCCGAACTACTACAAGAAGTAGAGAACAGAGACATTTCCCAACAAAGCCATCAAACCCAGCCTGATAGATGGAGGAAAAGACACACAACTTACAGACAGTAAAGGGATGGCAACTTTCCCGAGGAAATCAGGAGGTTTGTCTCCATCTTCATCAAACACAGTCACTTCTAGTGTATCATGGATATCTTTGACAGGGCTAGAAAGAGGTGCACAGACAGGAAAATCAGGAGTTTGTGCAACAAAAAGAGCACATCTGTTACAAAAAGAGTTCAGCATACATATTCGCTCATTAAGTCCGGGTCAGTTTGGTCCATTAAATTCACATACAGTTACATTCCCTCTGATCTAATCAAATTAATCCATTTTTGCCAAATTATCCTATTGCACACATTGGTGGGCCAAGAAATTAACTGACTTCTGGATACAAAAGTCTTAAGACCAGCACATCGTCATGGACAAAGGAAAAACTCTAGATTATGGGCCCATCCAGACAGAACCTTTATCCCAGGAGCTTCCACAGCAAACAGGAGGGTGGCCAGATGCCCTTCCCTATAAATGTGGACGCAATCGCTGCAAAAGGGCAAAAAACATGAGATTTCCAGGTGTAGGAATATTGCAGTTTTGAGCTGAATATGCGAATCTTCTCATGTCTGTATGTCCCTGCCATCAGAAATCACTGGAATTTTATATCTGGGTTTATTCTCAGGTTTTAGATGTTTGTTCCTGATTGATCAATTCCTAAAAGGAAAGTGACACTTGAGTAGAAGGTAAAAACTTTGTCTGTGTGCCAGAAACTTTATGAAATGTGTGGAGGGCACATTTTCTCTGGCCAGGACAAAGAATGAAACTTTTGCAGTGATTCCCTAAACGACTCCGGCCCAGTTTACCTGTCTGAATGGATTCTCCCCTATGAACCATCAAGGTTGTTAAGGTCTTCTGGAAGGGCCCTGCTCTCGGTCCCACCACCCACTCAATCGTGTCTGGTGGGGACGAGGGACAGGGCCTTCTCGGTGGTGGACCCTCTGGAACTCTCTCCCACTGGAGATTAGAACTGCCCCTTCTCTCCTAGAATCATAGAATCAAAGAGTTGGAAGAGACCTCATGGGCCATCCAGTCCAACCCCCTGCCAAGAAGCAGGAATATTGCATTCAAATCACCCCTGACAGATGGCCATCCAGCCTCTCTTTAAAAGCTTCCAAAGAAGGAGCCTCCACCACACTCCGGGGCAGAGAGTTCCACTGCTGAACGGCTCTCACAGTCAGGAAGTTCTTCCTCATGTTCAGATGGAATCTCCTCTTGTAGTTTGAAGCCATTGTTCCGTGTCCTAGTCTCCAGGGAAGCAGAAAAAAAGCTTGCTCCCTCCTCCCTGTGACTTCCTCTCACATATTTATACATGGCTATCATGTCTCCTCTCAGCCTTCTCTTCTTCAGGCTAAACATGCCCAGCTCTTAAGCCGCTCCTCATAGGGCTTGTTCTCCAGACCCTTGATCATTTTAGTCACTCCCTCCTCTGGACACATTCCAGCTTGTCAATATCTCTCTTGAATTGTGGTGCCCAGAATTGGACACAACATTCCAGGTGTGGTCTAACCAAAGCGGAATAGAGGGGTAGCATTACTTCCCTAGATCTAGACACTATGCTCCTATTGATGCAGGCCAAAATCTCATTGGCTTTTTTTGCCGCCACATCACATTGTTGGCTCATGTTTAACTTGTTGTCCACGAGGACTCCAAGATCTTTTTCACACGTACTGCTCTCGAGCCAGGCATTGTCCCCCATTTTGTATCTTTGCATTTCGTTTTTCCTGCCAAAGTGGAGTATCTTGCATTTGTCACTGTTGAACTTCATTTTGTTAGTTTTGGCCCATCTCTCTAATCTGTCAAGATCGTTTTGAATCCTGCTCCTGTCTTGGAGTATTGGCTATCCCTCCCAATTTGGTGTCGTCTGCAAACTTGATGATCCTGCCTTCTAGCCCTTCATCTAAGTCATTAATAAAGATGTTGAACAGGACCGGGCCCAGGACGGAACCCTGCGGCACTCCACTTGTCACTTCTTTCCAAGATGAAGACGAAGCATTTCCTGACTTTTAGAAAGCTGGTGAAAACTTGGCTCTGGAATTTAGCATTTGATGAGTGAGTCAATAACCCTTGAACACACGGACGGATGGTGATGAATTGTGATTTTATTCTGACAACTTGGCCTTATGTAATTATATGATCGTATTTTAATGTATTTTATGTGTTATGTATTAGTGTATTATGGGATGTGATGTTTTAAACTATTGTTTATGAATCTTTTGTTGTGAACCGGCCTGAGTCCCTCTTCGGAGGTCGAGAAGACTGGTATATAAAAGTTCTAAATAAATAAATAAATAAATAATAAATTCACTGTAGTGATTCTCCTCATATCCGTATATCCACATCTTGAGTTTCTGGTGGAAGTCCCACAGCAGCCATCTTGGGAGCTTCTAAGTCTTGCAATAAAGCATCATGTCTGGACAGCAAAGGCAAAAATCCCGTGACCAACAGGTATGTGTTGACCTCTTCTGAAGTCCCGGGTTTTTTTGCCCCTGTTTAAAACCCGTGATTTAGCACTGTCTGGAAGCGCCCTATGTGTGTTTCACAAAATCATAGTGAGATATAAGAAGATGAATTTCATACGGAATGCTTTCTTTTTAGAAACCACCCTCCAAGACTGGAGTCCTAGCCCCTTAGACTATTCCATCAATATGTTTACAGTTCCTAAAATGGTGAGTTGCAAATCCACTTACAAAGTGAAGACCTGGTTCCACTCCGGGTTGAGGTTTTTATAAACTGTATAACTCTGAAGCCTGTCATTCCCAAGCTCCAACAGACAGAAGGGATCGCTTTTGCCTGGAAAGAAAACAACAGCATTTTAATGTTTTCTTTAAGCCGCCCCAAGTCCTTTCTGAAAGAGGAGGAGGGATATTAATATTAATAATAATAATAATCGCATTATTAATATTATTAATATTATTTGCATTATTTGCCAATACATCACACAGTCACTTGGAAAGTGATTAAGTAAAACAGCCAGCAGAGTGATCTTGACTGCTGTAGACTTGGTCCTGGGCGAGGTCCTGTTCCACATCTTTATTAAAGACTTAGATGAAGGGTTAGAAGGCATGATCATCAAGTTTGCAGATGACACCGAATTGGGAGGGATAGCCAATACTTCAGAGGACAGGAGCAGGATTCAAAACGATCTTGACAGATTAGAGAGATGGGCCAAAACTAACAAAATGAAGTTCAACAGACACTCCACTTAGGCAGAAAAAAACGAAATGCAAAGATACAGAATGGGGGACAATGCCTGGCTCAAGAGCAGTACGTGTGAAAAAAATCTTAGGGTCCTCGTGGACAACAAGTTAAACATGAGCCAACAATGTGATGTGGCAGCAAAAAAATCCTATGTGATTTTGGCCTGCATCAATAGGAGCATAGTGTCTAGATCTAGGGAAGTAATGCTACCCCTCTATTCTGCCTTGGTTAGACCACACCTGGAATATTGTGTCCAATTCTGGGCACCACAATTGAAGAGAGATGTTGACAAGCTGGTATGTGTCCAGAGGAGGGCGACTAAAATGATCAAGGGTCTGGAGAGCAAGCCCTATGAGGAGCGGTTGAAGGAGCTGGGCGTGTTTAGCCTGAAGAAGAGAAGGCTTAGAGGAGATATGATAGCCATGTATAAATATGTGAGAGGAAGTCACAGGGAGGAGGGAACAAGCTTGTTTTCTGCTTCCATGGAGACTAGGACGCGGAATAATGGCTTCAAACTACAAGAAATGAGATTCCATCTGAACATGAGGAAGAATTTCCTGACTGTGAGAGCCATTCAGCAGTGGAACTCTCTGCCTCGGAGTGTGGTGGAGGCTCCTTCTTTTGAGTTTTTTAAACAGAGGCTAGATGGCCATCTTTTAGGGGTGCTTTGAATGCAATATTCCTGCTTCTTGGCAGGGGGTTGGACTGGATGGCCCATGAGGTCTCTTCCAACTCTATGATTCTATGATTGTATGATTCTATGACTCATCTTGTTGTGTTTTAAATAATAATACATTATTATTATTATTATTATTATTATTATTATTATTATATAACTGATTTATTTAATATTATCATTTATTTATTTACAGTAGTTATACCCCGCCCTTTTCACCCCGAAGGGGACTCAGAGAAGATTACAGAATGCATACATACTGCAAAAATTCAAAGCTGATTATAAACTTAAAAAGGACAGTCAAACACAAACAGAGGTAAAGGCAGTTGTTCCCATCTTATTTCCAACATCTTGGAGTTGTGCTCAACTCTGGTCATGTATGCGTGTGTGTGGTGGGGGGGGGGGGCAGGTGCGTGCTGTCGCTCCATCTTCCATGCCGAGGAACTTTCCTCCAATCGACTGATGTCCTTAAGGGTGCCTTTATTTCCTCCCTACTATTTATTTACTTGCATTTTTGCTTTTGGCCTGCTAGGTGGGCAGGTGAGCTGGGGCTAACGGCACATGATCACCCCGACTTGGGATCAAACTATTGACCTTTCGATTGGCAGGATTTTGGAGCACAGTGATTTAGCCTGCTACGCTAAATCCAACACCATGAATAAATGAAACATTTGTTTAAAAATGTCAAAATTTCAACAAGGGATCTAGGAGTCCTTAGTTGAACAAGAGTAAACAATGTGATGCAACAGATAAAAAAGTCAATGTGATTCTAGAATGAATTAATAAAAGTAAAGTGTCTCAATCAAAGGCAGTAACAATAATGCTCTATAATACGAAATGATTCAGTATGATTCATATATTAGGCATACTGTGCTTGATATTTTTTTTACTACTTTTCTGCATGCAATCTTTCATTACAAATAAATACATTATTATTGTTGTTGTTGTTGTTTGTTTGTTTTCATAATAAAAATGAACAAAAAACACAGATTGGCACCCTTTTCAACCAGCATCCGCTCTGTGCCTTGACCCATAATGGAAAGCAAGGAATAAATTAGAGAGAGGCAAAGCTTCATACCTGAAAAATCAGCAGCTAAGAGATCAGCAGCTTTTAAAATTTTAACTTGCAAAAATCCAATGTCTTTTATGTTCTGGAATGAGTTTCTTACACTCTGCAAACCAAGATGAAAAGAAAGGAAAAGCTTTTTAAAATCTGGTTTTGCACACTTTCAATCCACTTCTTTAATTCAACTCCTTAGTACACACAACTTGTTATTTAGATATTCAGAGATGGGCTTCATATTCTTGGGAGGGGGTGGGGAGGGAATGGATCCAAACTCACATAGCGTTGGGAGATCTGTTTCCTCTCAGCAGGATCCGCCAGGGGACAAACGCACAAATCAGAGATAGAAACACCCAAGCAAGGCACAACGGAGATTCCTATCAACAAGGACCCTGGCTGTTTCTCCAACGGCAGTTCCAAATAGTTGGTTTGTTTGCCAGGGAGTGCAGCAATATCTACTTTGCACCTAAAACAACAGAAGTGAAATTAAGTTAAAGCATGGCACCAATGGATTCCAAATGGAAACAAAAACCATCTTATGCTATTGTTGGTTCATTCATTGCTGTGGAGTTGCAGAAACTTTTGGAAACTTTCAACGTTACAACTATGTGGTTCTTGAGATGTTGGATTGCAGTTCTTATCCACCTCCATCATTAGATACATTGGCTATGTTTGATGGGAAGTGGGGCCCTAACACATTCCCCAACCCTACTTTCCAATGATAGCCCTATAAACTCATGTATAGGTCTATAAATGCTTGCATTAACCCCAAAACCTGGGTCAGCCTACCCATGAGTCAATGCAAGCATTCTACCTTAAGTCTTCTCAAAAAAAAGGAACCATCCCCTTTTAAGGATGATCCATGAAGAGTAAGAAGAAATCTTGACCAAAAACCCTACAAAACAGTATGACACAATCATGAAGTTCATGCAAAACCAGATCATTCGCCAATGTGGAGAACAGCCTCCAAGTTATGTTTCATTAATTGTGTTTGGCTGCATGTTGGGCATTTGTGAATGTCTGGGCGAGAAAATGGTAATGACTTCTGGGGATCAGAATGGTCCTATTAGGTGGCACTGGTCCTCTCCATAGTATAAACCATGACTTATCCATGAATCACATTAAAATCCATTATTCTGGCCCCAAAACTTGCCCTTGACTTATACATAGGGTTGACTTATACACAAGTATATATTAGGGCTGGGCGGTTTCGTTTCGTTAATTCGCAATTCGTTAAAAATTCGTTATTTTTTTGTTAACGAAGCGATAACGAACCATTCTGGAGCAACTTAAAAACGAAACGAATTTTTCAATTTGTTTCGTAAATGCTTCGTATTTCGTTATGTATTCGTTTCGTTATTGGTTTGAGGTCGTTTCGTTATTATTTCCGCATGTTTGGGGCAAGTTTTATAGTTGTTTTTTGTTTAATTAGTGAAAAAAAATTATAATATCACACCAACAGTCAACAACAGAGGGAGAGGGAAGCTTCAGAAGTTCCCCCTGTCCCATTTGGAGGTTTTTTAGCGTATTGTGCGGTCGCGTCCACCATTAACGAATCGATTCGTTATTGTTTCGTTATTGTTTCGTTATTGTTTTGTAATTTTTTTACCATTTACGAAATTTCGTAAATATCAAACTTTTTTTAAAAAAAAATTCGGAATTCTTTTAAATATCGAAACGCAAAAAACCCCAAAAAACGAATCGATTTTAGAAACAAATTTTTCCATTGTTACCCAGGCCTAGTATATATGGTTGTTAGAAAACAACATGATGCATTGGAGATGAGCACTTTCTAGTTGTCTAGTGCTTATGCACACTTTTCCCTGGATTTCCAAAATCTCCTTTCCATAGACAGCCCATTTCCAAATTAATTTGGACTCAACAAAGCTTTTCACTTTAGAGCATGTCTGGGCTAAATGTGTGGGAGTCAGGGTCCAATTTCACCCCACAATTCACCCATCCGCCCCCCGCTTGTGCCCAAGTATGTCCATTTTTTCCCCTATTTTTCCCATTCTCTTGGAATTTTTAGTTTTTTTAAAAAAGACAGGACAATAACAAGAGGGAGAAAAAAATATGTAAAGTAGACAAAATCATATCCTCAAAAACAAAATAAACACACTAAAAAGAAAAAAAGTAGTAGTAGTAGTAGTAATAATAATAATAATAATAATAATAACACTTTATTTACGCTACCATCTCCCCAGGGGCTTACATGAGGCCGAGCCCAAAATACAACAATACAAGCAATAATAATAACAATACAAGCAATTTAAAAACAACAAAACAGTAAAACAATACATAAGCATTATCAATAGGACAACACACTTTAAAATCTATGGGTAGGCCAAATGTAATTGAAATTTAAAAGATTAAAAAATAATACTGGACATGGACGAAAATGATGGGGCGGTTTGTGGGAACATACGAGCAGACCTAAAACAATATAAAGTGCTTTGGAGGATGAAGTGCTATGGGATGATTATTCTGGGAAGGCACACTGGAACAATCATGTCTTCAAGCTCCTCTTAAAGACTGCCAAAGTTGGGGCATGCCTGATGTCCTTAGGGAGTGAGTTCCAGAGTCGAGGGGCCACCACTGAAAAGGCCCTCTCTCTCGTCCCCACCAATTATTAACCAATAATTAATAGAAGAAGAGAGAAAAAAAGAATAGGAAAACAAATTCTCAAATTTTCTCAAATTTTCAACAGGAAGAGATCTGCCTTCCCTTCCTGTCTTCCTTTCCTGTCCCCAGGGGTAACAAAGAAAACAGGATGTTTTGGTCTAGCATGGCATTTAAGATGGGGAACGCAATGGAAGTATTTTTCTTTTTGCATTTTTCCTGCCTTTGGGTAGTTTTCTGCATGACTATTTCAAATTTGGTTTTAGGGGAAGCATCACCATCGACATTTTAAATCATTGGTGTGAAGTCGGAAGTCACTCTTTCCAGTCACAAGACTATTTTCCAAAATAAATAAATGAATGAATAAATAAAATGACAAAAGGAACTACAAATAACTATTTCTTTAGCATGCTCTTTTTAAAGCACTGAGCAAAATGTTTTTTTTTTCCTCATGCTTTGCAATGTTTGCAAAGAATGGAAAAAGGAGAAGAAATTGACAGATTGGTGTTTGTGAAAAGCATATTTTTTTGTGGAAGTGAATAGAGTACAACTTTCTAGAAACTGCAAGGTTTTAAGTTTTTTTTAAAAAAAAAAAAGAGGCATGGAACAAATATTTGGAGCTTCAGCTAGGAGAGACTCCAAGGGGGGAGATTTCATAGCAATGGAATGCGGCAGGAATCAGGTTTCCAAACAGGTCTGGAGAGAAAGTCTGGAACAGGTTTTCGGTGCTTAAATCCTGTTGACAGGTATTTATTTAAACAAAAACTTGTTAAGGTGTTTTCTTAATAGCCCACCTTCAAAATCTATCCAGGTGGGTTCTTTCTAGGTAAATGGGTAAATGAGTCACAAGTTACTCTCAATTGATCCCGTTCCAGCTGTAGAACCAGAGCTGTTGGCACCCTTTTGATACAAATTGCTGCGGCAACTTTCTATCTTAAAATTACAAGTTTGGAAAGGAAATGAAGGAGTGCAGAAATCAGTCTTGTTGACGTATTGAAGCTCACTTCATGCCGGGGATAAGGAAGTGCTGCACAGTGCGGGCAAAACAACCCAATTGCAAATGGTTCAAAGAACATGGTTTTGTAAGTGCTTCAACCGGGAGAATAAAATATCTTAGGTTTGCATTATACTTTTGGAGACTAGCTTCCCCAGCTCATGTTGAATCTGTTCATAAAAGACTGCATTCACCACAAGGGGACAGAAAGACAACTGGAGCCCAATTTGGGGGAAAAAATCTCTTCTTGGGTTGTTGTAAGTTTTTCGGGCTATGTGACCATGTTCTAGAGGCATTCTCTCCTGACGTTTCGCCTGCATCCATGGCAAGCATCCTCAGAGGTTGTGAGGTCTGTTGGAACTAGGAAAATTGGGTTTATATATCTGTGGAATGACCAGGGTGGGACAATGAACTCTTGTCTGTTGGATCTAGGTGTAAATGTTTGGGTATCAGCCAGCACGTCAACGACTTAAATCTAGAAATAGTTTTCTAAGATCTACAGAGACACTCGCTGGAACACCTCAGCAAGCGAGAGTCCAAAAGTGGCAGGCTCAAACCCAGAACCTCAACCAATGGCTGATACCAAATGAGAGACTCCCCCCGGGCACACAGAGGACTGGGCAACTTGGAAGGCGCTGAACAGACTGCGTTCTGGCACCACGAGATGCAGAGCCAACCTTCAGAAATGGGGCTACCAAGTGGAATCCTCGACATGCGAGTGTGGAGAGGAGCAAACCACTGACCACCTGCTGCAATGCAACCTGACCCCTGCCACATGCACAATGGAGGACCTTCTCACAGCAACACCAGAAGCACTCCAAGTGGCCAGATACTGGTCAAAGGACATTTAATCAACTACCCTTAATCTGTGGAATGACCCAACCTGGTCATTCCACAGATTCCACAAATTTTGTATTTTGTCTGTTTGTTTGCTTTGTTCTGTTAGAAATTTAATATAATTTGACTGGTTGTCCTGACACGACAAATAAATAACTGACCACCTTGATTAGCATTTGATGGTCTGGCAGTTTTTTGGTGTGGCTTGTTAGTGACTGGGGGAATCTTTTGGTGTGGCACTAACAAGCCACACCCAAAAAACTACCAGGCCATCAAATGCTTATCAAGGTGGTCAGTTGAAACATTCACACCTAGCTCCAACAGACAAGAGTTCTTTGTCCCAGCCCGGTCATTCCATATAAACCCAATTTTCCTAGTTCCAACAGACCTCACAACCTCTGAGGATGCTTGCCATAGATGCAGGCGGAACGTCAGGAGAGAATGCCTCTAGAACATGGCCACATAGCCCGAAAAAACCTACAACAATCCAGTGATTCCGGCCATGAAAGCCTTCGACAATAAATCTCTTCTTCTTATCTGGTCTATAATGCAAGAATTTACAAACTCAGTCCTGGAGTATACCGGAGTGCATCTACACTGTAGAATTAATGCAGTTTGGCACCACTTTACCAGCCATTGCTCAATACTATTAAATCCTCGGAGTTGTAGAAGACTTTGGCAGAAAAGGTTGAAGACCTTGTGAACATACAACTCCCAGGATTCCCTAGTGTTGAGTCATGGCAGTTAAAGTGCCAAACTGCATTAATTCTACAGTGTAGACGTACCACAGGTTTCCTTGGAAGCTTATCCAGCACTGACCTAGAGGACCTTTTCACACTACACAAATATAGTGCTGTAAAAGTGCGATGGCCCTATCCTATAAATCTTGGAATGTCTAGTTTGGAAATAGATGAGCTCTCTGGTTGTGAACCCAGGTTTAAGTGAATGGAACTATCCAAGGTGCTGAACCTATTTTGGAAGCAGGGGTTAACATCCAGGACAATGCACTCAATATCTGGACTCAAACCCAGAACTGATTCAGTACACATTAACCTATTTCCTCAAACGCATGGAAGAGAACGGTATTCAAACCTCAGTAACATTTGAAACTAGTTTGTTGTGGAGCTGGGATCACAGTACAATAGGACACGGAAAATGACAACAATATTATTAATATCAAAAAATATTAATGCATCTTTGAAAGTATAAAGAAGTTGCATTACAGATGGGACTTAATAAGGGACAGCTTCACTCCTTTTGCAGTGTAAGCATAACTTTTTAAAGTTACTAGGATAGTTGTGGGATGCAGTTTACACTGATGCCTTGCTGTGTAGGGACTAAAAACGAAACCCTTTGCCTTCTTTCGCAAAACGCAAATGTGTAAGCAAAAATAAGGAAAAATAACATGTAAGAAAAAATAAGGAAATTATATATTATTGAAACAATAATGTATAATTAATTATATCTGGAACAAGCTGCTTTCTTTCCTATTAGAATTTCCTCCCCACACCACCTAAAGTTACTTTGGAAGCTCTGCTTATATCCTGCCATCTGTGTTCCTGGACAATCCAGAACAGATGGCAATCCATATATAACAAAGTATTGCGTATGTTCTCCTGAAGTCAGATAAACATAAAATCAACAAATGTCGGAGAAAGGTTCGGATATCAACAAGGTGACAATCCAAACCACAAGTGCAGAGACTGAGCTATAAATACATTTGTTTATTCATTTAAGTGAAAGGGAATGGGAAGGAAGGAAGGAAAGGAAGGAAGGAAGAAATGGAGGAAGATAGAGATATTGACATAAAGATCTGACTAAATATACAAAATCATTTCGGTTCATTCAAACCACAGATTTAAACTTGATCGTACAATTATGCTGAAGAATTTCACAGTCTACAATTGCTGTACAATTGCAGTATAATAGAGAAACAAATGCTTCATTAGAACTCATACACATAGGTTGAATCTATACTGTATACTTTAGTTACGGTGGCTCAATGCTATCAAATCATGGGAGTTGTGGTTGTGCAAGGTCCTGAACCTTTTCTGACAATGAGTGCTGGTGCCTGTCCAAAACTACAAATCCCAGGATTCTGTAGCATTGAACTAAGTTAAAAGTGCTGTTAAACGGTATTGATCCTACAATGTATATATACTAGAGCTAGGTTTGAACAACTTGGCATTATGATGCAAACTGGGCATTACTGTAACATCCCAAGAAGTGAGAGATTCTGCGTACGGGGAGAAGAAACAGTGGAGGATATTGAATATTTCTTAATTGACTATCCAGCATATGCTGAATTGCGATACAGATATTTACATCCAGTATTATCCAATTGCAGGTCCCTCAACAGAAATGATCTTGTGACATTCCCCTTGCAAGAACAAGAAAGATCCACCATAATCAGAATATTATTTATTTATTTACAGTATTTATATTCCGCCCTTCTCACCCCACAGGGGACTCAGGGCGGATTACAGTGTACACATATATGGCAAACATTCAATGCCAATTTTGACATACAACATATACAGACATAGACAGGGGCTATTTAACTTTTTCTGGCCACCAGGGGAGCTGTCGCTTTCATCGTCCATCTGTGACGCTGATGAAGTACTTCCGCATTCCCCACATGCTTTTTGCTGGAGTGCTTGATGGAGTCTTTTTTATGGCCTCATAAATTAGTTAATTTAGCCTCCCCACACTTTAAGGTGGTACCTAATTTTCCTACTTGACAGATGCAACTGTCTTTCGGGTTGCAAAGGTCGACAACAGGCTACACAATTGGTTGGAAACCCACTCCAACCCGGGCTGGCTTCGAACTCATGACCTTTTGGTCAGAGTGATCTTAATGCAGCTGACACTCAGCCAGCTGCGCCACAATCACGGTGCCTTTTTATTCTGAAAGCTATCAAGAAAAGAGCACATTTCCTGAAAGAAGAACCAGGAAAATAAGATTCTGACTGTAAACAGAAGGTCAGCTGCTGTCCTCTCCTTTTTGCCTTGTATTTTATTCATGTTGTATTTTTAAATGACCATATGACTAGTCAAATAAATAAATAAAGTATTATTATTATTATTATTATTATTATTATTATTATTATTATTATTACAATGTATATGTGCCTACAGTGAATTCAGTGTAAAAAAATCTAGCTGCTCAATTCTTTGGGTACACATGACTTCTCTCCATGCAGTTCCATTGTTTTCCCCTCTCTGTTCTTCCCTGTTTGTGCTGGAAAGTCAGAGACCAAAGGCTCCAACTGAGGAACTGAATATACTATAAATTCACTGCAAAGGGGTGGGCCATTTTCATATTGCGTTCATTTTGGGGCTGAAAACCAAACTCCAAGTTCTCCTTCATCATCAAAGCTTTATTATAGTCATTAGTCAAGAGGCTCAACTAGCTTAGCAGTAAAAGGTTAAAAAAAAGAGTGAAAAGATTTGAAAAACTGATTAAAATGCAGGACAAAGTGCATAAGAACAAGAGTGGCAAAGGTAAAGGTTTTCCCTTGACATTAAGTCTAGTTGTGTTTGACTCTGTAGAGTGCTGCTCATCTCCATTTCTAAGCCAAAGAGCCGGCATTGTCTGTAGACACCTCCAAGGTCATGTGGCCACTGGCATGACTGCATGGAATGCCGTTACCTTCCTGCCGAAGCGGTACCTATTGATCTACTCACATTTGCATGTTTTTGAGCTGCTAGGCTGTCCAAAGCTGGGGCTAACAATGGGAGCTCACCCTGCCCCGTGGATTTGAACTGTCAACCTTTCGGTCAGCAAGTTCTGCAGCTTAGTAGTTTTACCAGCTGCACCACCATGACCGCTTGAACAAGAGTGAGAACACCGCAAATAAATACAGGGGCAAATTTCAGCCTGAGTATAATCCAAAAAGTTGTCGTATCCTGGCTACTTCTGAGAAAAACCTGGCAATGACCAAAGTCACATGGAGGAGATTATCTCAATAACAACTTCCCAAAGAATTGGGATGATCTATGAATTAAGTTTTTCAGTAATGGATTAATTTTCGGGCAGAAAACCCAACTCCAAGTTGCGATCTCTGATCTCTGGTTCATCTAGAACATTTGGGAGATGATTAGGGAAGATTTAGAAGACCTAAATTGTCCCTGAGGAGCCCCCAGTGATGCAATGGGTCAAATCAATGTGCTGGAAGGACTGAAGACCAACAGGTCGGAGGTTCAAATCTGGGGAGAGCACAGATGAGCTCCCTCTGTCAGCTCCATCTCCCCTTTGCGGGGATGTCCCCATGGGCAACGTCTTTGCCGACAGCCTATTATCTCACACCAGAAGTGACTTGCAGTTACCCATGTGCTGGCAGGACTGAAGACCGACAGATCAGAGGTCCAAATCTGGGGAGAGTGCAGATGAGCTCCCTCTGTCAGCTCCAGCTCCCCTTTGCGGGGACGTCCCCATGGGCAACATCTTTGCAGACAGCCCATTCTCTCACACCAGAAGTGACTTGCAATTTCTCAAGTCACTCCTGGCACACAAAAAATTGTCCCCAAAAACTTCCAGATGTGGAGATTAGATTCATTTTAACCCCTCAAATAGTTGTAAATATGGTTATGTGGGAATTAGGCACAAAAAGGGCGATGGACTCATGGCTGTATTTTTCCCAAACCCATCCCTATAGTAATATCTTCAAAATAGTCATCCAAAACAGAATATCATTTCCATCCCTAATTGTTGAGGGAATAAGAGGTACTACATAGGCTTCTGCGTAGTTGGCAGACCTATGTATTCGTGTATCTATGTTTGCATCCATAGGTTCTTCAAATGAGCAGCACTTTGATGAAGTTTCAGCAAACTTCGTGCACAAGGAGAATTAGCACCACAAGACAGCAATGGTGTAAAACAGTTACAAATATGAGGGCACATCTAGGGAAGGGGGAGAAAGATTCCTTTACCACATCAGTATCTCATTATTGCTCTGGAAAGAATATTGTAAAAAGGAAAACGGCACTTACATTCCCAAGATTTCTTCGTGCTTTTTGTTATCCTTTCCCCAGATTTCAACCTCCAACACATCCTTCCTGTCAGAGAAGTAGTGAAAATCAAACTGTTCTCTCCACTGTGGGTTTGCACTCTTACACAGAGTCTAGAAAACATGCGGTTATAAGGTTTATTTGTTTTTTCATCCACATATAAATACAAAAAGAGAGAGAGGACAGGTTTGTTTCTTTCACAGAGCAATTCAGAAGAGAGAAGAAGAGAAAGAACATATTTTAAAAAGCAGCAATGTTTAGAAGTACAGAACAGCTGGCATTTCCAACATAGAGAACTCTTTGTACGCCACACCAGAGGATTTGATGATTTTGACAATCTTTTGACAAAATGCATGCAAATGTAAACGGTAACAATTTCAACCGTCTGACAGCATAACCCTAATTCTGTGTTGTTTATAGGTTAGAATTAGGCCTCTTTTCTCAGCTTTTCTTTAAGCAGAACCTTCTTCTGTTGGCTAATCTGACCAAATTGCTCAGTTGGCTAAGACCAATAGGCAGAGGAATCAACAAAGGGTTGGAGAAGGTGGGTAGATACTAGGTTTGGGCGGTTTCGTTCGTTAATTTCGTAATTCGTTATTAATTCGTATTTAAATTAGCTTACGATCCAATATTGAGCCATGCAGGAATTGTGTGAGGAGTAATAAAGTTTCGAAACAATTTTTTCAATTTATTTCATAATTATTTCGTAATTATTTCAAAATTATTTCATAATTATTTCGTAATTATTTCGAAATTATTTTGAAATTATTTCATAATTATTTTTGCATGTCTGGTGCAAGTTTTATAGTTGTTGTTTGTTTTATCACACCAACAATCAACAACAGAGGGAGAGGGAAGCTTCAGAAGTTCCTCCTGTCCCATTTGGAGGTTTTTTTAACATATTGCGCAATCTCGTCTGCCATTAACGAATCGATTCGTAATTTTACGAAATTTCGTAAATTTCAAAAATTTTTAAAGGAAAATTTCGGAATTATTAAAAAAAACGAAACGCAAGGGCCCCCTAAAAACAAAACGAGTTTAGAACCAAATTTTTCCGTGGTTACCCAAGCCTAGTAGATACACCTCCTTTGAGCCATTGAACTACTCTTGTTCCCTTTTAGGATACGGGGATACCATTTGTCCCTTGCAGTATCTGTTTTGCAAACAGCATCCTGGGAACAGGTTCTTTTTAAAATATTAAAATAGTGGCTTGAAAATATTAAAATTTGTTGTTGTTCATTCATTCAGTCGCTTCCGACTCTTCGTGACCTCATGGACCAGCCCATGCCAGAGCTCCCTGTCAGCCGTCACCACCCCCAGCTCCTTCAGGGTCAAGCTAGTCACTTTAAGGATGCCATCCATCCATCTTGCCCTTGGTTGGCCCCTCTTCCCTTTTCCTTCCATTTTCCCCAGCATAATTGTCTTCTCTAAGCTTTCCTGTCTTCTCATTATGTGGCCAAAATATTTGTTTATTTATTTATTTATTTTGCTTGTATACCGCGATTTCTCTGCCTTGTAGGCGACTCAGCGCGGTTTGCAACAAGAGCAAAAGTCAGTCCAACAGCATACAAAATTTAAAAACCATTAACAGCATAATATACAAAATGACACATCAATAACAACACATTAACGTCTCGTAACTAGAATCGTGATCCAATTCGTCTTCCATAATTCCGTTTCCTATATTCATCGTGTACATTGCATTGTTTAACCGAACGCCTGTTTGAACAGCCAGGTTTTTAGTTTTCTTCGAAACACCATTAACGAAGGGGCTGATCTAATGTCCATGGGAAGGGCGTTCCATCTTGGCCTCCAATGAGCAAAATATTAAAATATTAAATAGTGGCATGAAACTCCACAAAAAAATTGGGCAACCCCATCCATTGTATTTAATGTATATGGCTTCTTAAAGCCAGCAACTCATGATGCAATAATAATAATAATAATAATAATAATAATAATAATAATAATACTTTATTTATATTCCCCCACCATCTCCCAAAGACACTTAGGGTGGCTCACAAAAGCACTCACAAAAGTGCTGCACACATAAAATACACACTATATAAGCATATAAAACGGTGGCAACATAAATTGACACCACACTTTCAACTAAGAATGTCACATCATTAAATTTAAAATTCCATAAAACAAAGCAGTACTTGCAGATAAAAATTGTTGTCTTCAAGTATCAATCCAAAGTGCTGGATTGAAGCTGTCACTAAGTCCTCGAGTCTAACAACTAAAATTCTCATCAATGTCAAAGGCCTTTTTTTAAAGCCATGGTTTCAGATTAGACCAAAAACCTTGGAGAGTGGGGCTAACCTAATCTCTCTAGGAAGGGAATTCTAGAGCTAGGGGGGCACCACTGTGAAGGCCCTCTCTCTCATCCCCATCAACCATGCTTGGGACGGAGGTGGGACCAAGAGGAGGACTTCCTTAATAGGTCTCAGAGCTTGTGCTGGTTCATAGAAGGAGTTGCGGTCACAAAGATAGGTTGGACCCAAAGTGTACAGAGCTTTATAGGCTATAACCTACACTATACAGAGCAGTTTGGTCCTCAGAACAAACACTATTATCATCATCATCACCACCATCATTGCCTTGATTGTCTCCTACGACTGAGAGCCAAAGTGGCCAAACGTGTCCCCTCCATAGGCATAAATTATGAAGTACTCCCAGTCACATGCATCAGGTATAAAGAAGAGTCAGCTTTTTTCAACCATTCCAGCACTCACCACCTTGCTTTTATACTTCTGGTCACCCATTTTTAACAGGACAAATATTTGTGTCATCCCTCCAGCAGGGATATTCTTCCCTTCCAGTAAAGCAATGGTAACTGTTCCATTCCACAGTTGGTTTTTCTGTAAAGAATCTTCCAGCCTAGAGTTTCGCATGAAGCTTGCCTAAACAGAGAAAAAGCAGAGGGAAAATTCTGTGTTGAGAATTTCTTTGTTATATGGGAGGTATATAGCTAACATTGATGATAGTCAAAGTTGGGAAATGGACAAAGCATTGCTTGCATGGGGAGCCCAACGCCTTTTTTGTGTGTGTGTGTCCTCCAGCACCCTATTCTTAATTGGAATTTGGTTTTGAAAGGAGCTATTCATGTTGCTGAGCTTGGGGATAAAGTTCAGGTTTCCTTCAAACTTTGGGTTGAACGGAGGAAAGGATTGAGGATGCTATTAATACGGGAGTCACATGTGCCCCATTGGTTCGGACATTCCTTCTCTACATTCAAGATGGAAAGAACACTGAAAAATATTGAGTAAACTGTAACAAGAAAAATTCTGGACTGATGAAAAAATTCACAGATCAATACTTATCCTGCACAAAATTCGCACATACTTATTATCCACAAAAAATCACATATCAACATGGAACATTTCTATCTTACCTGTGCACAAAAAGCTATCCTCCTGCACAGACAGATGTAATATTGCAGAATTATTCCACACAAAATTTGGAGTTGCTTAGAAAACAGCATTTTTCACACAGAAAACAATATTTCTGTGCAGGGAAATTTTCTGTGCAGAAAATTCTGTTTCCAGTTCAGAAAATGCTGTTTTTTGCACTGTTTTCTCCACAAGACCACCATGAGTGAATTTTGTGCAGGATAACTTCTGAATTATGAATAGGTGACTGAATCTGTGGATTTCAAATCCTTCCTTAGGCACAAAAGGAAATGACTAAATTTGCTTGTCTCTTCATGAAGACATTCACTGAAAAAATGCATTGCTATATTCATTTATATTTGAGAGAAAGAGATAAATCGTAACAAAGATTGGCACTCCATTGTGCATTTAAATATATATTTTGACTAAGCTGAGATTTGTGTCAGAAGTGTAAAAATCATGAAATAGTAACAAATCTGCACATTTATCTAGGAAATAACAGCTTAAATCAGTCACTACTAGAATTTGAAAATATCACACTTTGTTGAACATTCTTCCCTAGTTATGGAAAATGAAGTCATTGATATTTTACATGGATTACAAAAGCCAGTAAAATCAAACTTTTTGTAATCATCAGAAATGAGAGTAGCACAGTAAATCAATTTTATGCTGATTTTAAATATGTCTTTATTTTTTCCATCGTGTCAACTTTTTAAAATATGATGAATGGTACATTACAGTGAACTACTGTAAAGTCTGCACATTTCACATTATATTCATGTAACACACGCTAACAAGTATTTTTCATCAGATATGGTTTTAGGGAATCCTTATAGAGTGTTTTACGCTGAATTCAGATCTGTGTGTTTTTTTCTCTCTATTACATTAAGTTTTTGCAAGGAAGTGAATCGAACAATTAAATTGTATTGATATCAGTGTGTAAATGCATCAATTATTTCATTAGCCTCATCTCAAAAACTACATGTGATTTTTTTTGGGGTCGTGTCAGGAGTAACTTGAGATACTGCAAGTCACTTCTGGTGTGAGAGAATTGGCCGTCTGCAAGGACGTTGCCCAGGGGACACCCGGATGATTTGATGTTTTATCATCCTTGTGGGAGGCTTCTCTCATGAGGAGCTGGAGCTGATAGAGGGAGCTCATCCGCCTCTCCGCAGATTCGAACCTGTGACCTGTCAGTCTTCAGTCCTGCCGGCACAGGGATTTAACCCACTGCGCCACCGGGGGCTCCACTACATGTGATAGAAAAAAAGGAAACACAGATCTGAATAATAATAATAGTAATAATAATAATAATAAACAACTTTATTTGTACCCCACCACCATCTCCCCCAATGGGGACTCAGGGCGGCTTACATGAGGCCAAGCCCAAACAACAAATTACAATAAGATAAAATACAAATTACAATAAAGTAAAAACATAGCATTAAAGTACAAAACATAGAAGTATAATAAACAACATACACAAAACATAAAAAAGCAGTAAACCAAACATAATGACAGTGAGCGGGCCGCATGTACATAAAATGATTTAAAAACTCAGGGTGAGATAAAGGAGCAGAATTATTTGTAAGGGAGGACTCAGGGAGGAAATAGACAGACCATCGTAAAAGGGGGGAGGGGTGTACTCCTAGGACAAGAACATTGAGGGGAGCAATAGCATAAGATTATGTGACTACTCTCCAAAAGTGCAATGGCAGAGCCAGGTCTTGAGATTCTTTTTGAAGGTTTCTAAGGTAGGGACTTTCCTAATCTCTCAGGGCAATGAGTTCCAGAGTTGAGGGGCCACAGAGGAGAAGTCTCTCTCCCTTGTAGCCACAAGGCAAACCTTGAGAAACTGGAAGGGTGAAAGGAGGGCCTCCCCTGAAAATCGAAGAGTTCAGGCTGGTTCATGGAGAGAGATACGATCACAAAGGTAGGCGGGTCCCAAACTGTTTAGGGTTTTATAGGTAAGAATCTGTACCTTGAATTGGGACCGGAAAATGAATTCAGCACAAAAAAAAACTCTATAAGAATGACCTAACATTATATCTGATGAAAAATACTACAAGTATTTTGCTGTCCTCTTTTTTAAACAAGTTAACCTAAAACTTATTTATTATTTATTTATTTAAAACACTTATATTCCGCCCTTCTCACCCCAAAGGGGACTCAGAGTGGAGCACAACATATTCATGGCAAACATTCAATGCCTGGGTACAATACATAAACATTAAAAAACATTTATCTAAATATTAAAATACACCATTTAAAGTAACACATGGATAATCGAGATTCGGATTGTGATTCAATGATGAGACGTCGCGAATGATTTAGTGTAATTGTATTATTGATAGTGATGTTGTTTATTGTTGTGTGATATTGCTTATGTTGTAAATTGTACCTGGTTTTATATGTTGTACACCGCCGTGAGTCGCCCTAGGGCTGAGAACGGCGGTCTACAAGTGCAGTAAATAAATAAATAAATAAATAAATAAATAAATAAATAAATTTAAAACCATCCTAGCCACCCGCTAGGATGGTTTTAAATTAGAAACATCCCCAGAGTTCTCTGAAATTGTTGTTCTGGGCTAAAGAGCCATGACTTTTATATTCTCACAGAGGGATCCATCTACTTCTGCGGAATCACAGGATTCCATTCAAAGGACAGCATTTGAATTTTTGTACGAAACCCCCACTTTCAAAAAATGCAAATGGGATTCAGCTTCATAAATCTAATGGCAGGATTTTGAAAAAGAAGTTGTTGCACAAGCCAAAACAGCAGAAACATATATGTTTCCCATGGACAGGCTTCAAAGTCTCTATAGACTTTTCCTCCTGCTTTCCCAACCCCACCTTTCTTCACTAAAAGTAGAAAACTATTCCAAACTCCATTTTCTCTTTTCCCTTTCTTGCTTCTATTTCCCCACTTTACTTTCCTCCTTTAAAAGGGGGGGGGGGCACAATGTCCAACAGGGATCAAAGGTCAAGTCTGCAATCTGTCAATTGCCGAAGAAAAATGGTCCCGCTTGCTTGAAATATGCTCTAAAATAATTTTGCGGCTTGGTACGTCCTAATTTTTTCGAATTGGATGTTTGTCTTGGAACGGCTTCTTTCTGCCTTGTCCATAAAAACAGGCCCACTTAAGCGCTGTGAGGCCGGTGAAAATGGAATCTAAGGCTGGCCATTAAAAAGGCTTGGGAGATTGCTTCCATATGGCTGAACAGCATGGGAGCGGAGAGGCCATGGCCTCCAGCAGGATTCACTTGGCTGGGACGCTCCTGGTCTATCCACGGACACTCGTTGCATTACAGAGGAACATCTGGATTATTGCTCGTAATGTCCCTGGGAAATATCCACTTCCCATCAAAAGCCTTTATCTATCTCCACCGTACTTTGAACATTTTAGTGCATCGCGCAGCTGTGTTTGATGTGTGCGGCACTTGCAGGATGGAAATCCAAAGTGACTGCCCCCCTTTCCCTTTCAAACTCCTGCCTGGTCTTTCTTGCTTTTCCCTCCTTGTGCATGTGTAAGGGGAGGGTATTTTAGGCTCGTTCCCAGAGAGGCAAAACATACCCACACACAGGCACACTTTGGGACATTTCTTGTTACATTCCAGACTCAGAGGAAAAAGAAGAAGAGAATATAAAGAAGTTCGGAGAGTTTCCTTGGGTTACTCCTCCTAGTTTCCAAAGCTAAAATATGGGGAGCAAGGCATTTGACTTTGAGGGCCTTCCAACAATCTATGTGTATGTTTGAGCTCTGTTTCATTTCCTGTTCACTCTCTGCCTAAATGCACACTTTCAGACAGATTTGGACTATAAACAACAATATTTTTGTATTGTTGAAGGCTTTCATGGCTGGAATCACTAGGTTCTTGTGGGTTTTTTCGGGCTATAGAGCCATGTTCTAGAGGCATTTCTCCTGACGTTTCGCCTGCATCTATGGCAAGCATCCTCAGAGGTAGTGAAGTGACCTCACTACCTCTGAGGATGCTTGCCATAGATGCAGGCGAAACGTCAGGAGAAATGCCTCTAGAACATGGCTCTATAGCCCGAAAAAACCCACAAGAACCTAACAATATTTTTGTTACTTAACAAGAAAATGAACTCAAGCTTTATATGCTACAGGAAAGATTTAAACACATCAGTAGTTAACCCACAGATACAATTTTTAAGGAAATGCTCATATGCAGTAATGCACAAATATTTCTGCAAATCTTCGTCAACCAGCCCTGCCATACAAGCTTCTGCAACCTACATCCTTGCTGTAGCTGTACTCCAAGAATACAAATCAAACCACTCCCTGATATCCAACCATGTTGTCCAAAGGTCTGTAACCACATCTTATGAGGAACAAACTAGGAGCTGGGTATATGTAGCTTGGAGAAGAGAAGGATGAGAGGGTGTCATTGAGGATATGGAGCCAGCTTGTTTTCTGCTGCTCCAGAGACCAGAACATGAACCAATGGATTCAAATGACAAGAAAGGAGATTCCACCAAAAGATTAGGAA